AATTCAATGAGCAGGCAAATGAACAAGCCCATCAGGAACGCGGCAGTGAATTTGCTTTGTGGCTGCAAACTGGCCACACTCATCAGTATCAGCAGGGCAATAATGATCTGCTTCCCATGGGACACAGCCTACATTGCTAGAAACAAGAGTCATTTGCATTTCTGTCAGCTTTCTCTGATGCACAGAGCCATAGAATAGCTCCAAGATAATGAAAAAAGTGGAGATAAACAAGACAAGCGACTAGACAGGATACCCACCAGACTTTTTAGCCCATTTTTCTTGACAACGGAGGGGACGGGAATGGGGAGTAGGGGAAAACGGGCTGTTTCTCCCAAGACTGGCTGTAGTCTGAGCCAGCCAGTGGCTGTCTTGCTTTTTCTGTCTTTCCAGAGCTTCTTGAGAGAGGGACGGCATGGGAAAGGTTTCCATATTCGGCACTGAGCTCTGAAGTGCTCAGCACTCGCTGTGCGAGAGCACCAGGGGCACAGAACTCGTCCATTCTGTGGATGGTTGGCAAGTGTCAGTGAACTCACCCCCAAGGCATAGCCAATATTCTTAAGTCTTTTCCATGTTGTGCGGTGTTCTTCACCTAAAGCAGACTGTTGCCAATAATTTACCATCTGTAAGAGATTAAAACAAATCAGTAAAATTCTCCCAGTGCCCCATGTCATACCAGCCTTCTGGGCCTCTCCGGGGTTTGTGCCTGAGGGCCAGGTTATAGGTGGGACTGCACTATAAACTATTATAATGAGACCCTGTGGCTGGAGCCCAAGTTCTACTTAATTACAGCTTTAATCAAGTCAGTTAACTGGCTGAAACACTCCAGGCCAGGGCTGCGGCTTTGGTAGCCCTTCTTTCAGATATTTATTGTTAGGGAAAAATCCCGAGGAGAAATAGACAGAGCCTCAGATACCTGTGGGATAACACAAACCATCCCACATGAGCCAAGACCCTTCTCAATGCTCAGGAGAAGCTGGCTCTCTCCCTGTCTGTATTACGGAAACCTACCAGTCATTTCTAGATTTCTTCTACTGAAAGTCCTTCATCATTTTCTGTGTTTTTTTTTTTAACTTAAAAAAATAAGGTATTAAAACATTTATTATTATTTTAGTTCTCTTACTATCATTTGAATTTGGCGAGGATGGCCATTTTTCCACTTTATCATGCTGTGAAAACTTATCTTAGTCACGATAGAGGTGCTTGCTGACATACAGTTTTCTCGTTTGAATCACGTCTGCGTCATCTGCCTGCTTCCTTTTTGTATGAAGAGGACCTTTGTCTGTGTTTTCTATCTTGAAATGCAACTTTTCAGAACATGGTTCAACTGTGGGCCCACAGGCAGCTCTGCCCCAGCAGTTTCTCATGGCATCACAGTCTACCCGGCTGCCCCACGCAACCTTAACCCCTCTTGACGCTTCTCCCTTCTTTATCCTCGGCACCCAATCCGTTACCAAGTCTGATGGATTCTACTTGTTTATCTCCTAACACCACCCTTGTCTCTGTGCCTTCATCATCATCAGACTTTACCAGACCCCGTGTTTTCTCCTGGCTGACTTGCCGTCTAGCTGATCACTCCAGTGCTAGGCTCAGGCACATCTCCCAGGTGGAACATGAGTAACTATATTGCTGGTTCCCAACATTTTCTTGAGCGAAGACTCCCCACCCCCCACTTAAAGTTTAAAAACAAAGTGAAACACAACAAAAAACAAACCACGGACCATCCCATGAGAGTAATTGTTCTTTGGGCTCTGAAAGGTCAAGAGAAACATAGGCTATTTCCATTTTTTTTTTTTGAGTTTCCCAGAATATTACAAAAAAAGCAAAGAAACGCCAAAATAGCTTATAAAAATTGTGATGTGTTTTAACTTTCACATTTAACAAATTAATCATTTTTACACGAGAGAAGTATGCAATGTATTTATGCCTCTCACAGGATAAGTGGAAGATTTGTTAAAATATCAATTCCTAGTGCTTTATAGATGGTACCATTTGTATATGGGGAACACCTTTATATTATGCGACGAGCATGCATGTAACATTTTGGAATGTATTTGGCTACAGAGACCTAAGGTTGTAATAAATACATACATGTCTGACATCAAGAAATCTGGAAATCAGGCAATCTGTTCAACTCTGCTGCCAGAGACCCAGGTTTTTCCCACCTCTTCACTTTTCCAGATGCAAGATGTAGGCTTTTGTTGTAATGCTTGCCACCTCATGGTCACAGGATGGCTGCTGGTGCTCTAACACCGAGTCTTCCTTCCAGTAGGAAGAAAAAAGAAGGGCAAAGGGGAAAAATAGGAAGGCAAAGTTTAAAGGGACTAAAATGGGTTTTTTTTCTTGTGGAGACCTAACTTTTTATTCAGCAAGAGACACTAGCCCCAGGAATTTTCACCTACATTTCATTGGCCAAGATTATAACATGTGGCTACGCTAGCCATAGCAGTAAGGGAGGCTGGAAAATTGAGTATGTTGTTTTCTAGCCTCTTTAGAAGAGGAAGACAAGGGAAATGGAAGTTGGGAATGAATGGTGAGCGAATCTTATTTATGGCTTCTACCACAATCTCCTTTTAAACTTGCCAGGGTATCTTTGTAGCTGTTGGTACAACTTTTGAAGAGGTTATCACATGTCCATTTGGGAGCCCTAATAAAGAGTTAGCTTAGGTCACATGATCATTCTGATTTACTGACTGAGAAAACGGTAAAAAAGCTATTAAGTGGAGAAAGGAACCATGTAGGTTGCTTGGTATAAAAGAAAAAGATTTAAAAAAAAAGCTATTAAGTGCTTCTACATGAATTTGTAGCTTATTTTTTACATGTATGTGAGACTTCATTATCTTGTCTACAGATAACATGGCTCTTGCAGCTTCCTTTCTGAAACCCAGAGGTGGTCACGCCACCATGGCCTTGCTTAGAAATCTTTAGTCCTTTTGTGCCTACAGAAGAAATTCTAAAGCGGCGGTTCTCAATCTGTGGATCGTGACCCCTTTGGGGGTTGAATGACCCTTTCACAGGGGTCGCCTGAGACCATATCAGGTATTTACATTACAATTCATAACAGTAGCAACATTACAGTTATGAAGTAGCAACGAAAATAATTTTATGGTTGGGGGGTCACCACAACATGAGGAACTGTATTAAAGGGTCGCGGCATTAGGAAGGTTGAGAACCACTGTTCTAAAGTAATCAGCATTTTATTCAAGGCACCTGACAGGTGGCCTGCCCAGCCTTTGGCCCCATCTCTGGTCACTGCCCCTCTCACTTAGCTCCGGCCCTGATTGTCAAGCTGCTTTGTTAAACGGCCTCTGAGCCTTGCACGTGGCGTTTACACTGCATGCTCTTTTCTCTCCCCTGTCTGCTGCAGGTCTGTCCCTGCTTTCGACCCATTTCGGACGTCCTGGGCCTGTGTGGCTTTTCCCAGGCCCCCCCCCCCCCCCCCCCCGTCTGGTGGGGTGGAGTGTGGGAGACCAGCTGTGTCCCGTACAGCACTGTGTTTGCTCCTCAGTTATGGTGCATTGCCCGTTTGTTGTGATTGCATATGAGCTGACTAGTTCCCAAGGGAAACATTCCCATCTATCTTTCTATTTCTAGAGCCCAGAATGGAACCGGCATATGAGAGAATTAATATGTGTATGTTGGATGAATAAGTGAAAGAAAGAAGGGAAATGGGCAGGGAGCTTACGATAAGGCCTTAGTAGCACCAGACCTTTGTTCATGGTACTAGATTTTATTAAGATAGATGTGTAGGACTTTTAAAAAGCTGTCTTGCATTTCAGGAGTTGGAGGGGTCTGAGGCTGGGGGCGGGGAGCTCTGGGCAAGAGTCTTTATTGTGGTTTTTGCAGGAAGGATCAGGCAAGGCGGGTGAGCAGGCTTGGCATCGGCTAGTTGAATAATTTCGTGGCTCTGAAGCATAGGGGCTGCCCCTAGTTGTCTGGTACCTGCCCTGGGTGATTGGAGCTGGTGGACAGTGGCCTGGAAGGTGGAAGCTCAGTAAGGGAGGTGTTGGGGCTGTGGACTCTGGTTTGGTTGGTTTGTGCTTGAAAAGCATGGCCCTGCGAGGTGGAGTCTTCCTGAAGAATTGCGGGGACGGAGGAGGTGAGAGGTGAGGGAGGCTACGGCAAGGTGACTTAGGCATGTAATTGGGTTGTCCAGACAGGGCATGTCTGGGATGTGCATGGATGGCAGACGTTAAAGCATCACGTTCACAGACGCTAGAAACGTGCCTAATACACGGGGGTTCTGTGTTTTGGGAAGGGAGACCGCTGAGGTAAAGTGACATTTTCCTTCATATCAGCTCAAAGGTGCATGATGTCAGTGTAACATCACTGTTGATATCGACCTTGTTTGCCTGGCAGATCGAGCCCTGTTTTGTGGCATCATGTCCATTTCATGTCTGCCTCTCACCTTCACCTAAATGTCGGAGGTGTCTGCAGGGTGGGCTGGCAGCAAACACTCAGTGTCATTGCCCTGGGTCCTGATCTTCCAGAAGAACAAACCTGCCTGTGTTGAGTTCTAGTTCTTAGAGGTGGGGCCCCCTTCGGCCAGGGGGAGGGGGAATGTTTCCATGGAAGGGAGTCCTGAAACCCGGGCCTTGGGCAAGCTGAGTGCATAGGGAGTCCTGCGTCTGAACATCCCTACTGTTCTCTGAAATAGTAGTCTTTTGTCGACTTGGATAAATATATTCAAACACACCCACAGCTCTGTCAGGAGTTGGAGTTGATCGCCCCTGAAATAAGACAGAATACATAATATCCATTATACTAGCTACGAGTCAAACTAGTCAGAGTGTTGGCCTGTTTTCTGCATAGAAATGAAAAAATTAACTTTTTACTCCAGAAGTTGCCTGACCCGTCTCCTTGAGAGCCCTCTGAAGTTGGTAGTGATTGTGAGAAATATGTAAGTGTCCCTGTTCTGCTTTTGAACTCCTGCGTTGGGCAAGGCAGGGCATGGAATTGGTTGGTCCTTCACCTGCACCCCTTTGTCCCCCCTCATGTTTCAGGGTCCAAGTCGCAGAACTGTCTGTGGAACTCCATCATCGACGGGCTCACAGGGAATGTCAAGGAGAAGCCACGGCCAACGATTGTCCACGACCCCCGCCCCCCGGAGCAGATCCTCGCCGATGAGCTGCCTCAGCTCGATAGCCCGGAAGCCTTGGTGAAGACGTCCTTCAGGTTTGGCGGACTGCGCCCCAGTTGGTTCTTTCTTATTTGCTTGTGGAGTTATTTCAACCCAGTTGGATGCATCGTCAGCGTGGCCAGCAGATTACCTCCTGTGTTCCCACTGAGTAAATTAGCATTGAGGAGGGAGTGTTGGAATGCATGCGGGCTGGACTTCTGGCTGGGTTTCCTGAATGTGGTGAAGAGCATATCAGTAGTTAAGTTGCTGTTGGCATTTAATTGGTATTGGCATTTGAATGCTGAGGCAAAGGACTTACTGAAGTTGGCAATTTGAATTGGATTAATGAGTCTTTTGCTTCAAAGGAGGATGACGCACGGAGATAAGTGTGTGGAGGAAAAGCACGCAGTGGAAATGAATTCAGCCCTGGGCCCTTAGAGTCTGTTGCTGGGGGAGGTTTCTGGTTGTGAGAGATGTGCGAGGTGCTGCCTCCTGGAAGGAAGGGAGGATCTCGCGTGGTTTCCAAGCGACTGTTTGCTCTGTTCTTGCTCTTCCTTCAGTCTTGCATCTTCCTGCAAAGGCCTCCTGGATTTTCATTCTGGTTTGAACTCCACTTTCATCACAACACTGTCCCTTACCTTCTCACCATATTAAGTGAGAACCGGTCTGGGTATGGATGAAGCGCATAAAACGATTTCTTTTTTCCAAATGGGTCTCTCAAATTCACATTTGAAATGCACAGAAGTACTGGTATCGGAAGTTATGATTTAATGATTTTGCTGGCCTGCCTTCCTCCCATCCTTTCTCCCTGTTACCCTAATTTTACTTCTTTCATTAGGCAATGCTTTCATATTCTCCACATGCCTAGTAGAACATAGAAAGCTCATAGAATGCTCGTGCCCTCCCCCTCCAGCCCCCCCCTTCCCCCCCCTCGAAACAGTGCAGACAACCCTTGGAGTCCATGAAATGTATTTGAAAAATGTGCTCTTTTTGCGTCCAGGTGATGTGTGTAATCGCTCAGTAAAAGCCATTTCATTGTGTGAAGGTTCTTAGTGGAGGTTGAATTATAGATGAGTTCTGAAAAGGAGTGATGAATAGGGGTTGGATTTCTTTATAGAATGTGGCGGACGCAGTGGCGGAACGAGAATTGCAAGGCAAATGCTTTTATTATTCATAGTATGGGTTTGGTTACTACGTTGTGAGGGTTTAAACAAAATAAAACCCATTGAAGTAGAGAGAAGTACAGTCCATAAACCTGCGATTCCCTGCGGTTCCCTGTGGTGGAGGAGGGGGCGGGGTGGGGGGAATGCCGTTCTGGGTCTGTGTGTTCTCGGAGCGTGTGGTGGAGTCAACCCCTTCACGTACAGTCTTCTTGTAGCTACTCTTTCCATCCAAGACCAGGTTCATCATAAACAGCTACAGAGTTACTCTCATGAAAAGAGCATCTTGTCTGCTCGCCCAACTCCATTACCATCATCACCGTAACCTCTTCTCTTTGCATTCCCTCAGTGCTCTCTAATACAGAACATGTACTGATGACCATGGACTTCATTTGCTAAATCCACAGGCGTTGGTAATTCATTTATTAGACTCCTTAATACAGCTGTGAGCTATTCTAGAACCATTCTTTCTTCCAAGGAAGGTTGCTGATTTCAAAGGCAATGTTAGAGGGTGAATATTCTCCAATGCAGCTGTCCCTAACCATTCTGTTTTGATTACTCTGTAGTATCCCCATTGCCTGGAGGGCTGTTAGGTTGTCTGGCTCACCTCCAGGTCTGGGTGGGGTCCTAGGATGGACCTTTCAAACAAGCTTTGGGTGCTGCTTCTGCTGCTGCACTTGGAGATCCCTGGGGTATTTAATATCTAAACTATTTTGCTATGTTCATTTGAGCAGGCCACATATCTAATTTGACCTCAGTTTTTTCACCCGTGAAATAGGGGTAAAGATGCCCACATGTCAGGGTTGTTTAAAATAGATAACAGTGCATGTGAGACAAGCTGAGTATTTGACACCCAGGATGTGCTCGGTAAGGACTAAGTTTGTATTCCTGCTCAGCACCCACTCAAGCCTCTATCCACAGAGGAAACAGGATCAGACGTGGGGTTTGTGCTCCAGGGCAGGCACTGTGCTTGGAAGCTCACCAAGCCTCTGGCGTGAAAAGACTGCTTTCAAAATCGGAAACTTCTGAAAGGAAGACAGTGGGAACCATAACTGAATAAAAAGGCTCTGGTGCCTGGAAATGGACACTCCTGGGAACTGCACTGCAGGTGCCCGTTTTCCTTGTTCCTCATGACCTGTCCCTTTGAACCTGCTGTTTGGCTCAGGTTTTTCTTAGAAGAAAGTAAAGTGAACCTGGAGCTTAGGGAACACAGGCAAGCCCAGCCAATCTGATCTGTGACGGGGAGCTCAGTACTGGCCACTAGAGGACCCAAGAGGACAGGGGAGAGCTGGCTGCTGGGAGCCGACTCTCCCCAGCCTCCAGCCCAGTCCAGATGGCACTGATGCCAGGGAAGCCAGTGTTTATTGGGCATCTGCTATGTCCGGGAGCTGTCCATTCATTTGCTTATTTCATCTGCCCAAACCCCACAGGCAAGGTGAGTAATGTTATCCAGCGTGTACAGGTCAGGAAACCGAGTCTCAGAGAGATCAAGCCACTTACTCGAAGTCACCCAGCAGGTGGTGGAGCTGGAAATTTGAACCCAGTCCACCGGCTCCAAAGCTACGCTCTCTCTAACCTTGGCTTTTATGCTTCTGGGTTTGTTGTTGGTGAAATAAGGTAGTGTGATTGGGGCTACTAATCTGGATGTGGAGTGTATATATGAGGCTGACCCTGTTCTGTCGTACTAAATCCCTTTTCTAGTCTAAACTTAGGTTTTGAATGCACCTGCCCCTCTTGGATAGGAACCCCTTCAGTGCTTCTCAAACCTCATGTCTCACCAAGTCCTTGGGGAGGATCCTATTAAACACAGACGCAGATTCATTGGGTCTGGCTCACGGCCCGGGAATCTGCATTCCTCACCAGCTCCCATGGGATGCGATGGCCCGAGGACCCCCTCTGAGTAGAGAGGCATGGGCTTTGGAATACCACGGCTGTGAGTTTGCCAACACTCTTCCAAACTACGTCATCTGAGTCATGGTTCTGAGTCTCAGTTTCCCCATTTTACAACTGGAGACAGTGAAATAGCAGCACTGGCCTTGGGGATGGTGACTAGGGGTGAGTGGGCTAATGGCGGGACAGCCCCCAATTCCTTCTCTCCCAGTTTGCAGAACCGTGTTTAGGAGAGGATTGATCCTCCACGCCCTGACCCCCCCTCTTCTGTGCCTGGGTTGTGCAGAGGACCCGGCTGCGAGTGGGAGCAGGCTGGCCACTGGCCTGATCTCCTGGACGGTGGTGGGAATTCTGAAGCCGCCAGGGCATCGGCCATCTCGGTGACTTCCCTTGAATTGTGTGACTCCCAACCTAGGTTGCATTGCCAGGTTTTGGTAATTTTGCGTTTGGGAGAAGAGCACGCTCACTCCCTCGGGAATGATTGGGGGCCCGATGGGCCTCTCTTCCCACGTCGAATGGACTTATTTGGGCTTTGGCAAAAGCGCTCCTGGTTCTATACATAGCTTACTGAGAATATATTGCAGAAGCAGAGCTGCACTGAGCCCTCGGCTGCGGATGAGATTAAGGCCTTGTCAGGTCCCATTGAATGGATTGTGTTTTCCACGCAGAATTAAATCATTGAACTCATCCTCATTTTGGCTTTGGCAGTCATGTTTCCACCAGGGGCTGCTGCCAAGAAGCGGCTTCTGACTGCATTCCTTTCAGGAAATGTGCCATCTGGCTGGTGAGACGGTGTGGCATGGGGTGGTGTCCCCTGCAGCTTTGGACCCCACCCCGGGTGAGTCATAGGTCAAAATTCCCGATTAGCTCATGGGAAGTCTGGTCACACATCTTTCTCTGTCACTGTGCATTGGTCACCCATGGGAACTTCAGGGACACCTGCTCCCCAGACTCAGTGCTGCCTCCTGGAGTTGACATTTCCCCCTGTAGTCTCCGCTAATCCACATCAGTAGAGTCTTCCTCAAGTTTGCTAATGGAACAATGAAAGAATGAATTCTGAGGCTAAGGGAACAATGAAAGAATGAATTCTGGGGCTAATGGAAAAATGAAAGAATGAATTCTGAGGCTAATAGAACAATGAAAGAATGAATTCTGGGGCTAAGGGAACAATGAAGGATGAATTCTGGGGCTAAGGGAACAATGAAAGAATGAATTTTAAAAGCTCAGGGGAGTTTCTTTTGCATGTTGGCTTCCCGTAAGGGAATCATTTGGGCTTCTCGTTGTAAGTAAATTTTTATGGACAGATTTCCACTGTTAGGAGTTAACAAAGCCATTCTTCTTGCCTTCTACCTGGTCCTTCATTTTGGAAAAGAAGGGGTTTATTTTGGTGGCGGCCATGTGGATGCATTGTCAGCCCAGGCAGCGTATTTGACCCATGGCCCCAGCTTCTGGGCAAGGAGATTGTCCCTGTGATGGTTGATGCTGTGTTTCCCAAGGGCACCCCTGCCAATGACTGAGAGAGTCAGGGATGCTAAGGCTGGCTGCTTCTGGAGGCTGGTGGCCTCCTTTGATGGTGACATTGGCTCAGGGACTTCCTGATGGCCTTGCTGAACTTTCCTTAGAACTGCACCGTGGACTAAGATACTTCTATCCAACTTTCTGTCCTTCTCTTCTTCGCTGGGGGTTAGACCTGTATCCCAGCTCTCCCCGCCTCACCAGCTCCTTCCCCGTTTTCTCTTATACGTGTTCCCCCTGGTAAGTTTCTTGCACGTACAATTCAGAGGATCCTGGCTAACACAGAGGATCCTGGCTCCTCAGAGGATCCTGGCTAACACTGTGCGGCGATCTTGGCTGGCCCACACGGCCAGCTCCGTGCTGTGGGCATAGCTTTCAGGCTCCTGGCCTAGATAGCCTGGCCCAGTCCTCCCTTTCAGTTTATATTTTATGTTTGATGCTGTATCTCCCCTCAGGCTCTAGTGGTAGGGTTTGCATGGGACAGGCCACAG